TTTTTTTATGCTGGCGGTTCTCCCCTTATGCTGCGCCTGGTCTTTCTTTATGCTAGCCTAGTTTGTTTTTTATGCTCCCCTTCCCCATGCTGCACCTGGTCTCTCTGAGTAGTAATAGTACTATAGTACTAATCGTAGTGGTGGTGGTGGTGGTGGTGGTTAATTGTTCTGTCGTTGTAACAGCTGCCTCCATTGCATACCGCGCTAACCGTCTAATAAACCCTATACCGCCGGAATAAAAGCGGCCGAGGCCCTGAGCTGTTGCAGCCGAGGTCCCGACCTTGGCCACACACGTAGGTGTTTCTTGTTTATAGTTTCGTCACTTTCGTCATGTTAGTCTAGCTTCTCACGGGCCCCTAAACGTGCACGCTGTTTTTGTTGGAAGTGTTCGGCCCTGTGTTCAGAGCAGCTGTGCATGCAGCCTGGGTTGCTGCACGAAGTGCGCCGTCGCGAGTGAACCAAGTCATGCATGCTGTCTAAGGCGGTCGTGTCTTACTCTGGTCTCTGCATACTGTACTTGACATTACTTCCCGTTCTCGCAACTTCCGGACAAACTTTAGCTCCATGGGCGCTGGGCTTTTGCAACGGCCGACAGAGCGAGATTTTAAAGTTCTGTGCATTGCCATAGCCCGCGGGCTTCTGTGCCGGGGCAGGCATCAAAAGACTAAGCTGTGCGACGTGTGCGATCGCAAGAGAATTTGCTGCTCTGTCATGTACTTCTAGGCTCTAGGCTTTCCCTTACCCTACACCGCGCGCGTTGGAGACCTTGGAGAACATGTGCCGAAATGTGAATAGAATACAATCGCATCGTCGTCGGCGTCGTCGGCGTCGTCGTCGACATCGTCGTCGGAGTCTGGCATCCAAGGAAGTCGCAGCATTGTGGAACAGGTGCCGACATGGGACGAGAATATTCGGTCTGCTTGCCCAACCCCTCCCGCTTTGCTGTTGTAGTCCTCGTCGTCGTCGTCCTCGTCGTCGTCGTCGTCGACATCGTCGTCGGAGTCTTGTGGAACAGGTGCCGACATGGGACGAGAATATTCGATCTGCTTGCCCAGCCCCTCCCGCTTTGCTGTTGTCGTAGTCCTCGTCGTCCTCGTCCTCGTCGTCGTCGTCGTCGTCATCGTCGTCGACGACGACGTCGTCTCTGTCCTCATCGTCATCAACCTCGTCGTCAACACGACGTTGTCGTCGTCGTCGTCGGGGTCATCATCGACATGGTCGCCGTGGGCAAGGAAGTAGCCGCATCAGCACAGGTGCGGACATGCGGCAAGAATATACAGAATATTCGGTCTGCTTGCCCAGCCCCTTCCGCTTTGCTGTTGTACGATCGCATCGTCGTCGGCGTCGTCGGCGTCGTCGTCGACATCGTCGTCGGAGTCTGGCATCCAACGAAGTCGCAGCATTGTGGAACAGGTGCCGACGTGGGACGAGAATATTCGATCTGCTTGCCCAGCCCCTCCCGCTTTGCTGTTGTCGTAGTCCTCGTCGTCGTCGTCCTCGTCGTCGTCGTCGTCGTCATCGTCGTCGACGACGACGTCGTCTCTGTCCTCATCGTCATCAACCTCGTCGTCAACACGACTTTGTCGTCGTCGTCGTCGGGGTCATCATCGACATGGTCGGCGTGGGTGTGGACGTTGCTGTCTCCTGGTGGTCTCCCC